TTTCACATAGTAGAAATTGCTAATATATACACGGTACAACTTCTGTTTCATATCAGGAGCTTTAAAAAATTTCCTATTTTATCTCCTTAAAATATGCCTACAAATAACGTGATCAATGGTACAACAAATCGCCTAGTTAATAATATACAATACAAAATATGACAGCTATCAATCAACTTAATGAAACATATTTTATTTCCTTATTAATTTGTGTTGCATTGTTACAAATATCCTAGATAGTTGGCCTTGTTGACCGAGAATCTAAAGATCATGGGTAATGTTTAAAAAACCGGATCGAATATCGAACCGATGAAACATTCAGGTTAGTGTTCAATTAGTTTAACTAATTAAAAATACGGTTGAACCGTTTATTAAATAAACTAATAATATATTAAATTTCATATATATGTCATACACAATCATATCTTTACAACTTAATAAAATAAATATTTCAAAAATCCATTACAGATTCAATACAACAATATCAATAATCAATAATACATATAATAACAAAATATAGTTGTACACTTAATTTCGACCTTCATTTAAGAATAATTTGAACAAATTAAAAAATTAAAAAAAAAGTTAAACTAATTCAAACCCAAATTAAAATAATAGAACATAATAAATAATTTAAATAAAATTTAAATAATTAAATAAGATAGAATTACAAAAATAGTCAACACAACATATTTAATTGAACAATAATAAGTAAATTCTAGTTGAACAACTTAAACTAGGGGTGTCAACGAGACAAAGAATGTGCGGAGGATGCTCCACTCTGTCCCCCAATTTTTTCCCATTCCCATCCCGATCTCCACCACGGGGAACTATTTTTCTCCATCCCCATCCCCACGGATCCCCCACAGTACCTATAGAGATCCACAAATTTCAAATCTTAATTTTTTTCGATCAAAATTGTGACATTAGCGTTTCATTGTTTTTTTTATAAAACATATATTTTGCATATTTATTATTTAAAAAAACATATTGCATCAATAACAAAAAATTTAAAAGCAATTGTAGTTGCTAATTATTTTTCTTGCTATCATGCATAATCTCATAATGCGTAGAAAAAATAGTAAGTTGGAATTGTCAAATATCCAAAATAAAATACTAATAAATATCCCACAATAGATTGTGAAAAGAATAGTAGAATTGTAGAAGAGTCTAAAAAAAGTCAAATATTATATTACTTTGGGAATAAAGCCGGCATAGATGATTAAACCTTTGTCTTCTCCCTTTAACACTAAAAACTAAGTGTTGCTATAAATTTTGCAAAGTCTTGTAGCAATTGTTAAGACTCATTTACAATCACTGAGAATAATAAGGACTTTTGATAGGATTAAACAAATAAAGGTTAGCAAAAATAACATATGTTGCAACAAATATATAAAAATTAGCTATAACAAATATCAATTAAAGTTATCAAATTAGTTGTACGATATTATATAGCTAACTTGTTACTATATCAATTAGTAGTAACAAATTCTAGTGGATCCTTAACAAACATATAGAAATTATTAAAATTATTTATATAATAATTATAAATTAAATAGAAAGCATCCATGAGCATGACTCCTAACCTAACAAAAATACAAAACAAAAATTTGGTTTTGTTGAGTTTGTAATTCCTTGTGTCAAAGCAGTGTAGCTCAACAGAAACAAGGATTAGTCAAATTAGCCTAATACGTTAGTGTGTCGAAGTGTTGAACCATGTTGCTTCACACAGGATTTCAACTTAGGCATATTATAGTAATGTTAGCTATTTTGGGCTTTGGCTTAGGGTACAAGCAAACTTAAATTTATAAATAGGGAGAAACCCTTATTTTGTAAATAACCCATCATTGTTGTAATTCACAGTTTGTAGTTGCAAGTGAAATAACAAAATTTCAACAGTTTGTGGGCAGAGAGTTCTTTGTAGAAAATTGTTCATCTTGTTCTTCTCCAACGCTGACTTACTTTCTTTATTTCTAAATATTTTCATCGTCATTACGTGAGTAGGAACAATCTTGAGATCAAGATTGATTAAGTGAAATTCTCCATAGGTTGTGGTTGAATTTCCAACATCTGGTATCTAGAGCTCCGGTTACGATTAAAGGAATGAAAATTGCGATGGCGATGAATCATCCAAACAGACACTTTCCGACAAACCTTCTAATTCTCAAGAAAGATAACTATGAGAATTGGTGCAAGCAGATTAAGGTGGTTTTTTGTTATCAAGATCTCTAGGATCTTGTGAAGGGAGGAGTAGCACCGCTTGCAGAAAACGCGTCGGATCAAGAAAAAAGTTGCATTCAAAGAATTGAAGAAGAAAGATTATAAAAGCTTCTTTATAATCCATCAATGTGTAGATCCAGATAATTTTGAAAAGGTTAATGATGTAGAATCAGCGAAGGAAATATGGGAGATTCTTGAAAAGTCATTTGAAGGCGCAGGAAAGGTGAAAGAGGTGAGTTTACAACCTCACAACAGAATCTATGAATTGCTTCAGATGGAAGAAAGTGAAAGTATAGAATATTTCTTCACTAGAGTTACAAAGCTGGTGAATCAAATCAAGGTATATGGAGAAGTGTTGACATCAAGATCAGTTGTTGCAAAGATCTTGAGGTCGTTGGCTCCAAAGTTCGGCCACGTGGTAGTAGCCATAAAAGAGTCGAAAGACTTATCAACATTGACGAAGGAAGAGCTTCAAGGGACGTTTGAGTCTCATGAACAAAAGATGGCTGAAAGAGCTGCAGGAAAGTCGAAGAGTGATATGGATCTGCAGGCACAGTCAAAAAAGTAAAGGAGAGACAAAGGAAGCTGGAATGACAACAAAGGTAGAGGAGACAACAAAAATTCAAATAGTCGAAATCAGCAGGAAGGAAACTAGTCGAGTCAAAGAAAACTATGGAACCAAGACAACCAAAGAGGTGGTGCGGTAGGTAGAGTAAAAGGTGGTAGATGAAAGCATGACAAAAGTCACATTTAGTGTTTTAATTGTCAGAAGTATGGTCACTATTTTAGTGAATGTCGAGAAAAGAAAAAGAATCAAGAAACTGATGCAAAGATGGAGAAGCATGAAGACGAATAGATGTTGCTAATGGTCACAACAAAATACGAAGAGAGATTCTAGGAGTAGTGGTACTTGGACTCGGGATACTCATCACACATGACACGAAGGAATGTCCCACAATGTTCAATGCTCCCTAGTGAAAATCTCCCCCACAGCGGTATCATGAACCTTTGGTTCGAGTGAAGGACCAACTCACTTGTATCAAAAGTATTCCCCACAGGTGGTGGTTAGAATGTGTCCCGTTGAAGAGTGTCAACGACGGTCCAAGGGTGGTGAACAAGAAACACACAACAGAATGTACAGTTGCACAGTTGAAGCTTCCGCTTAAGGGGAGCATGTGTCTCTCACAAAGGTGTTGCTTTAGAAAGAAAAGTCACACTGTTGGGAGGGATTTTTCAACTAGGGAGCATTAAACATTGTGGAATTTTTCTTTCTAGAGCAACACCTTTGTGAGAGACACGCCACATACTCACCCAAAACCTTAAGGTGATAGGTGTATGAGTTCTCCCACTTATAAATGCTCAAGTCTCCACATTCTTATCTAATGTGGGACTATTATCTACACTACTCACACTTGTTATACTTAACAAGTTTTGCCGTAATTAGGTTTTTGCCATAATTTTTGATAAAAATAATAATAATTAATAAAATAAAAAAAGACATAACTAAACAACAATTTCTCACACGAAAGCAAACTCATAAGAATCACTTTAGAAACATATTGAAAAAAGAGACAAACAGAGTATCAAAATTAAAAAAAAAAGAGATAGAGAGAGTGTAAATACTACAATGATGATTGTTGATGCCTTGATGAAAATATGAGAATAAACAAAAGAGAGTGATTGTTGTGATGATGATGAGAACATAGGAGATGAGAAGACAAATAGTTTTGAGAAAAAAAAAGACTCTTATAAGAAGAAGAAGAGACGTTTAACATTATAATTTGTATATGCATCGTTCACTTTTCTATGATTAGTAAATAAAATCTCCACTAATGATTAATGAATAATGACTCTTTATTTCCTAATAATTTAATAACTTTTTTTATAAAAAGATGTACAATTACATAATTATTATATTTTATATAATATTATAAATATAAAAAGGATAACTAATAATATGACCGGATTCGGGGAATCCGCGGGGCGGAGGGTACTTCCCCGATCCCCGCCCCGAAGTTTCATCGGGGAAATCTTTACCTCCATCCATGTTCTTGCGGGAAAAAAACTCTGACTTCGGAGCTCTGAACACATAATTCCCACAAAATTCCGTTAAGAAGTGCAAATTGACATCTCTAACTTAAACAAAGAATTATTATTTTTTGTATCGAGGGATGTTTTAAGTTTTGATATTGACATATTAATTTTTTAAAAAAAAATCACTGTTTTGATTTATTTTAATCGGACGGTTTTACAAAACTGACTCCGATTTTTTGGTTCAAATGTTTTGAGTAATTCAATCCAGTTTTTTCGATTTAACTTTGATTTTGACCCACCAACAATTTTAAAAAATTTACGTAACCAAATTCAACTTCAATTCTTGGTCTAATTGATTCAACCAGACACATCGATCTGATTTTTAAAATATTGGTCATAGTTTCAACATCTTATATATCAAATTATCTATTTTTGTCTTTTAAAATTTAAGACCAAACAAAAAAAACTTAGGTGGAATTACTGATATCAAAATAAATGAAAAAAAGAAAAAAAAATTAAAATATTTATATTATAATTAATTTTTAATTGAAAATCGAAATCCTAATTTTGAAGATTATATGTGTGAATGAATTTACGGTGGTTATTCCTAATTCATATACAAATAAAATATATTAGAATTATTATTCACATAATATAAAATTAAAAAATATATTAAAGATGCATTAGAGGATATGTTTGTAAGAAAGATGATGATAGGATAGAAAAAGCAGCGAAGGTTGTTAACAATGGCACTGTCATCATCTTCATCATCACAACCGTTGCCATTAACACTTCCTTCAATTTCATCTTCACAATCACATTCTCTTCCAACCTTTCGCTGTTATCATAACTCTCACTCCCTTCTTAGCAACGGAGCACAGTTCACGAAGCTTAGCATCACTCATCGCCGAACATCAACCATACTTTCTTCCGTCGTTGCCTCTGTTGGGAATGAAGATGCTGACCTACGTGTTTCTTCTACACAGCAATTGAATGATGATAATGATAATGATGATGATGATGAAGAAGAAGAAGAAGAAGAAGAAGAAGAACCAACCCCTCAAGACCTTGAATATGTTGCCCAAATCAAAAGGGTAAATTTACTGCTTTTTTTTTCCCCTAATTTTTTATTTTTTTATTTATTAATGGATTTTGATTCCCTATTGCAGGTTTTGCAGCTGCTTAAAAAAAACCGGGACATGCTATTCGGGGAGGTATGCTTTTTTCAGTTTTCACTTTCTTATTTTAAATACTTTCTCCAATCTTACTTTACTAATTAATGGAAGGGAGAATTTCATCGAGCTGCTGTAAGATTAGGGATGTTGTATAAGTAAGAGTGTTGGAATGTGGAAAACCAACGCAAGAATAAATTAAATGTAGGAGAAATGAATATGTTGTGTTGGATGTGTGGTAAGATTAGACATGATAAAATGAGAAATGACATTATTAGAGAAAGAGTTTGGGTAGCACCTATCCTTAAAGAGATGGTGGAAACTTGATTTAGATGGTTTAGGTGTGAGAGAAGACTTGTAGATTCGGAAGTAAGGAGAGTAGATTGGATGGAGGATAGTCAAATCACTAGAAGCCGATGAAGGCTTAGTAAAACTATAAGAGAGACTATTAACAAATATCAAACATTTACTCTCTTTACCTTGCAATCTACATGCCTTATTCATACATAACATATCCAAGCCACCTAAGTTGACATTAAACCATCTTTTCTACAATGGGTGCTACCCCCAACTCCTCTCCAATGCTAGCAGTCCTAATCCTCCTTTTTCTAGTATTTCCTTTCATCCAGCGCAACATTGTCATCTTTGCTACATTGAATTTATTCTTGTGTTGCAGTTTTACCTCCCAACGCTTCATCCTATACAACAATTGATACCCTCATTTACCTCAGATAACCTGCATGAATATAAGAGCTTACATCTCTTTACAACTCTCCGTTGATTTGAGCAATAACCTAAGATATTTAAACCATACTACTCGTGAGGTGCTTTTCTTCTACAACACTTATATTTCATATACTTTATCTTTGCTCTACTCAAATGGATGCCATGTGCTTCTAAAGCTAGTCTTTAACTTCCTATTTATTTCCTCTCTTGATTCACTAACTGAGACTATTTCCTAAACAAAAAACATGCATCTCAGAGTTAGCTCTTGAATGTGCTATGTAAGTACTTCCAAGACTAAGATAAAAATATAGGGGCATAAAATTTGCGCTTGAAGCAAATCCTATTGTTATTAATGCCTAATTATATAGATACAAAAATTTTAATTTGCTAAAACTTTGTTCATATAGTTTTTAAGATATAATATAGTTTAAAAGTTGGACTGATTAAATTCACATTCTATTAAACATCGTTGAATGTGTAATTATGCTAATTATATATTTCCATCAAGCTTTTAAAATAAGGTTCAGTTTTTACTTTGTCATTTGTTCTTGATCATTAAGCAAGTGCATCTCCGGATCGTGTTGTCCTTGCCCATGATGTTCTAATGATTCTTTCTTTATCCTATTTCCAGGTCAAACTAACCATAATGATTGAGGATCCCCGAGATATTGAGAGAAAAAGATTACTCGGTATTGAAGATCTTGATGGTCCAACACGAGAAGATCTAGTTACTGCTTTGGAAGAAGTAAGTTTTTTCTTCTATAGCAATGATTATCTAAACCGTGCTTTAATTTGTAGAAGCATAAACACTCAAACTTGTACCGGAAGCTTTAGAGTTTATTAAAATCTTGTTTGGGATGAACATTTGGTCATTTTTTAGGGTAGATATCATTGGCGTATTGTCCAAGGTACTCCCTCTGTTTTTTTAAGTCGTTTTGGACTTTTCACACGTATTAAGAAAATTAATGATTGTTGTATGAGAAGGAAAAATTATGAGGGATTTTACAATAGTGTCCTTCATTAATTGCATGGGAAAGATAAATTTAAATAATTGAATGAAGAGATGATATAATAGGGAAAAAAAACATTAATGATTCTTTGGTATTGCAAAACGACTTATATTTTGGTGCTAATTTTTTTCTCCAAAGCAGCTTATAAAAAAAAACAGAGGGAGTACATTTTTTAGGTTAAACTCTTGTTGCACTATAGTCCAAACCTTCAACTTTTCAAACCTTTTGTGATAATCTAACTAATGCTCCGTCTCACAATCCATTTTTTGTGTCCTTGAACCAAACACAAGGAGTTGGATTAATATTTTTGTTTGAGAAAACATTGTAAATAAATCTCTCCAATTGCATCACATTCCATCCCACTTTCAGATTGCTAAAGTACCTTTCTGCTAGTTTTATTGACTTTCTTTTAATGATAACATCTAGCAGCCTTTCTACGTGCATCTAAAGCCAAAATGATAGTAGTTAATTATAGAGTAATCAGCCGCTCATTGTCTGAAAATCTGTCTTGTTTATTTGTGTTATGTGGCATTGGCTTTTAAACTCCGAATAAGGTCAGAAGTTGCTTTCATATTGGAAAAAATGATTTTGCATTTACTAGGTAAATGAAGGGAAAATTCCAAAGGATAAAGCTGTTCTCCAGATGCTTGCTGAGGAAATGACTGCATGGCCTAATTTAGAGGTATGGTTGAATTTGGGATTGTTTTAATCTATGTTTCAGTGTGCATGGTGTCTTGAGCATGTGTATGAGGTAATTGATTGCATTGTGTTTATACAGTTTGGCCTTTACTGTATTAGGTTCTTTGTATTGTTTTATTGAGGTACTATTTTTCAAGTGGATAAAAATAGTAATAGTACTATAAGTTTGAACTTGTACTCCAACCGAACAAGTTTGTGTGTTTATGATACTAGTGTCTCTGTATGCTTGCTAATTTTATTAAGAGTTGTGTTTTTTTGACACAAATTTGACATAAAGTTTCGACATCAACTTGGATGGCTAACACAATTCAAAGGTATTACATTCAGTAGTAGATGGTTAATGAATATATGAAGGTGAGGTGACACGTCATAACTCATTATTTATCCTCTGAACACAATTAACATCAATTTTTAACTGTCACTAACCACAATTTCAAGTATATATTTGAATACAAATCGTGATTAATGAATATCATGTATATTTGAACACAATTTGGATAGTTAATGGATACTTGTAAATATGAACATTAGAAAATTGTGGTGAATAGAGTCCTTCGGAAGCAACAAAAAGGTCATTCCTTTTCTTATACCTAAATGGATGACAGAAAGTTACCTAAGCAAGAGGTGCACCGCGACTAGGGTCATGGATAATGCCGGTGATTACTCCCTTGAGATAACCGTTTCTTTCACCGAAATCGAGACTACGGAACCTTGCACCTTTACGGTGGTGAGTGATTTGAAAATTGATCCCGCACCCTTATGTTGTGCCCTAATGACCCTACCCATCCCGACTAACCTACAACTCAACCTACTGTGCGGGAAAAATGGAGCTGGAAATGGCTGAAGAGAGAAATTAACTACATCTTCGAATTTCATTAACCATATAAATTGACTATTGAATTTTTTTTCTCTTGGTTTTCACCACCAGTATCCGGTCCAGTATCCGGTCCACTGGGCGAATAATCTGGTTCGAGAGTCAGTTCTGGCATCAAGTGGTTTCAGCCTCTCTTTTATTTAACTACCTTACTTGAGAGTCTTAGTTGTAATAGGAAAACTTTAGTCACACTTTACTTTTTGGTGAAAGAAAAACTACATAAATCTTGAAGTTTGTAGGTAGTCATAAATTCTCAGTGAAGGTGAAGAGTTCAGAAATAACTGAAAATGTAGTTACCGAGAGTTTATACTTGAAAGCGGCTTGTTATGAACATCGCATTCACTAATGTAAAAACCTATTTTACAAAGATTTACTACTGGTTTCGATTACGCTCTTTCTAAAATTGTTTAGTTTTTATCCGTTGTCAATGCTAAGATTTTCTAATTTGTTTTATTATTTCTAACTTATTGCTTCACCTTTATATGTTTGACAAATTTGATTTTCATGATGGAAATACAGTGAAGGTCCTTTTACTCTATTTCTATATAAAACTTCAAATTTTGCCACTTCATCCAGAACTAATTGTTTATACTAACTTCCATTATTTTCCACTGATATAATGTATAACGCTGAATCAGTTGCTGCTGTTTTTTTGTTCAAATGGATAGGTTGAAACAAAAAAGAAAAAGTCCAAAAAATCTCTATATGCAAAAACCACTGACACTGGAATCGATCCTAAAGTGGTTGCAAAGAGACTAAACATTGACTGGGATTCGGCTGCTGATATTGAAGATGTGGATACTGACGATGAAACAGAAGTGCCTTCGGTGTTGGTCAGTTCCTTACCTACCTTATAGATTATAAGTTTTGTTTGGTTAGCCACCATTACTCTTGTTATGTAGACCATAATACTGTAGTTTTACATTATAATCAATGAATTTGCTAGTCTATTTTCTGAGTTCTTAAAAAATTATTGGTGCAAAACAAGGAACTTTTTATTTTATTTTTGTATCGTTCTTTAGATAAATTTTCTTTTCCTTACCTTTTGTTATTAGTTTTTTTGGTTCACCCTTTAAGGTTTCCATTAAGGATGTTGCTTGTTTTGCAGGGCTATGGAGCATTATACTTGGTTTCAGCTTTCCCTATTATTATAGGTGTTTCAGTAGTTTTGATTTTGTTTTACAATTCCCTCCAGTAGGAACTGGCATTGTACTCAAATTCAGTGTATAATATTACTGTATCAAAATGAGTTAGTATATCACAATGTTCACCGGAATTTATTGACTTCCAAAACCTAGCTGCCCCAAAATATTATGGACTTCCAAAACCTAGCTGCCCCAAAATATTATGGTAAAACAAATGTGGCTGCTGGGATTCAAGCCCAGGTCTCCACGGCCACAACGTGGAATTCTTACCACTAAACTACAGCCACTTTTGTTGTTATGGAAGTTGTTTGAGTTATTTTTAATAAACTTCTTAGCAGAATGTTTTAGGAAAGGGATTATTATAAGAAATTTTTACATAATCTTCTATCCGTGAATCATAAATATGTGGATTTCAAATGAGTTTAGGTTTTAGCGCGGTGGAGTGAGTCTCTGGTACGACAGGGGTGGACCTATAAATCAGCACTCTAATACTTAAGTTAGTGAATTAATGAAAAAGTAGTTTTAGTATGTGAACTAGAAAATACTCGAAATAATGTACGTTATATTTTATATATTCTAGATAGTTAGAGTCGTTTCTATGTGATTTGGCGCTTCAGGTGAGGGACCTTCTGATTATATCTAATGGCGGTGAGTCCTCTAAGTCTTCAATGATTTGACAGATATGTTTTTGGACTTCACCATAATTGGGCTTTATTGCCCGTGGGCATGTGGTCGGTTAGAATAATAATCTCTCTCTCTTGTTGAAATCCCATATAAATTATTTCAAAAAATCTCTCCTTTTAATCCATCATAAATACTTGAAATTATAAGTAATATTTGGTAGCTAAGTATGACGAACTTATTGTAACTAAAGAGCTACTATATAAATAAGAAAATTAAATCCAATTGAAAGATCTTTATCCAACTTTGTTGCAGAATTTCATCTTTTCAAATAAAGTTCCTGAGGTGATGTCATTTCAATAGTAAAGGTTTGATTTTTATAATTTAAAAGACTGGTAAAATAATCGATTTGGAAAATAAGCAATATCTTTATTATTGTGAATCGGATACCTTAAAACTAAATATAAACAGTTTTTTAATGATCAAGAAACACATAAGGGTTAGGGTTAATAAAGAAGAAAAGAACAAGGATTGGTTATTAAACTGTTATTCTTTCCTTTCTCTTAGAAGAAGATTACAAGTATACAGCAATAACAAAATAACTTATCTCTCTTGAAATTAGGATTTTATCTTCATATTTTTGCTTATGTCAAGATTGAGAAACTAAAATCCTATTTATAAGAAAAAATAGCACACTAACCTAATGGGCTTTTAAACAATTACCCATTACAAGCTAACTTAAGGTACAAACTAACTTAAACAATTGGGCTTACGAGTAAGACCCAATTCAACATGCTAACAACCCTAGCAATATTGACTAATGCATGTTAGAACAAACTTCGACTACAACACGCATTACTTGCAAACAGACTTCGACCATACTAGAGTTCGATCCAACATCTCACAAATCTCCACCTTGTATCTAACTCTATAACATCAATAAACTAGCTTTCTTCATGCAGCTTTATTAACTGCGTACAGTGGAAAAACTTGCAACTGGGAAACGTCTTGGTGATCATATCAGCAACATTATGATCTGTCGAGACCTTCAGCACTTGGACTTCTCCACGCTCGATTACCCCTTTGATGAAATGCAGCCTCACATCAATGTGCTTGGTTCCTCATGATAGGCTGAATTCTTGGACAGGTGTATTGCACTTTGACTATCACATTTAACAGTGATAACTCGACCTTGAAGTTTTAGCTCCTTTGCAAAACTTCAAGCCACAATGCTTCCTTCACAATTTCAGTTAGGGCAACATACTCCGCTTCGGTGGTTGATAAGGCAACGACCTTCTGAAGTGTTGCTTTCCAACTGATTGATGTCCCAAATATAGTGAACACATATCCAGAGATAGATTTTCTGGAATCCATACAGCCTGCATAATCAGAGTCGACATATCATTCGATTGCTGTTTCACCCAAGGCTCCACCATAAATTAGAACTCTATTCAGAGACCCATTTATGTACCTTAAAATCCACTCCAATGCTTGTCAGTGAGCCTTTCCAGGATTCGCCATGTACCTGCTTACAAGACTTACTGCATATGCTATGCCGGGTCTAGTACATACCATAACATACATCAAAGGACCTACTATGTTAGCATATGTAATGTTATTCATATAATTTCTTTCAACATCAGTGCTGGAACACTGATCTATACTCAGCTTGAATTGAGGGTTTGTCAGAGTCACAACAGGCTTTGAATTCGACATACCAAACTTTTCGAGAACCTTCTGTAGGTATGCCTCTTGAGATAAGCATAATTTCGACTGCTTTATATCTCTCCGGATGTCAATCCCAAGAATCCTGGACGCAACTCCCAGATCCTTCATGTCGAACTCTTTATTGGGTTCAGCCTTCACCCCTATTACCTCTTCGACATTGTTGCTTGCTATTAGAATATCATCCACATAGAGCAACAAAATAACAAATGAATTATCCGGTCGAAATCTGAAGTAAACACAGTGGTCGAACTGACTTCTGGTGAAACTTATCTATGCCATGAACTTGTCAAATCTCCTATTCCACTAGCGAGGAGAATATTTTATTCCATATAAAGATCTATTCAGTTTGCGCACATAACCTTCCTTCCCCCTTTCGACATACCCTTCAGGTTGCCTCACCAGGATTGTTTCATCTAGATCACCATATAAGAACACAGTCTTCACATCCATCTGTTCCAGTTCAAGGTCGAACTAGGCCATCATGGCAAGCAACATTCGAATGGATTTGTGCTTCACAACAGGAGAGAACACATCATTGAAGTCGACACCTTCTTTCTGAGTGAACCCCCTAGAAACCAATCTTGCCTTGTATCTCTTCGACGCCACTCCTTCGATTCCTTCCTTAACTTTGAAAATCCATTTACAATTGACTAACCTGGCTCCAGCAGGTTTCTTGATCAGTTCCCACGTGTTGTTATCATGAAGATATTTCATCTCATCATCCATGGCCTTCAGCCATTCAGTCTTCTTTCGACTCCTCACAACTTCCTTATAGTCTCTAGGTTCTTCGTCTAGAACCTCACTTGCAGAGATTAAGGCATAAGCTATAAGATCTGCATACCCAAGTCTCTGAGGTGGCTTGATGACTCTCCTCGACCTGTCTCTTGCTAGCAGGTAGTCATTATCAGTCTCCTCATCTTCGACAGCATCTTTTGCGTATTCTTCGACTTCATTTAGGGTAAGCAATTCAACATCAACATGTTCCACCTCAACAGGAATCTCTCCCTGTTCCAGCTCTTCGTCAGCATCATCAGTTTTCTTGAAAGCCATCTCTGCTTCATTGAAAACTACATTTTGACTGGTGACACACCTCCTATGACCTGGCTCTAGGCACCATAGCCTATAAGCTTTGACTCCTTCAGGGTATCCCATGAACATGCATTTTAGAGCTCTAGGTTCAACCTTGTCTTGCCTAATATGAGCATAGGCCACGCAACCAAATACTCTCAGTCTGTCGAGACTAGGTGGATGTCCCGACCAAACTTCTTCAGGTGTCTTCATTCCCAAGGCAGTCGAGGGACATCTACTTATCAGGTAAGCTGCTGTCGAAACAGCTTCCGCCCAAAACACCTTCTTCAATCCAGCACTAACCAACATGCATCTAACCCTTTCAAGGATTGTTCGATTGAATCTTTCAGCTAAGCCATTTTGTTGAGGAATACCTGCTACAGTCTTATGCCTTGCAATCTCAGACTCAACACATGAACTGTTGAACGCTTCGTTGCAGAATTTAAGGCCATTGTCGGTTCTCAACCTCTTAACCTTTATGCTAGTTTGAGTTTCGACCAAAATCTTCCAACTTTTGAAATTCTCAAAAGTTTCATCCTTCGCCTTCTAAATGAATACCCATAGCTTTCTGGAATAGTCATCAATGATGGATAGAAAATACCTTGCACCTGAGTGTGAAGGATTCCTTGCAGGCCCCTAAAGATCAGCATGAATGTAATCTAGGATCCATGTGTTCTTTGCTGGCCTTTGTTAAACTTTGCCTTACAGGATTTACCAAATACACAAGATTCACAAAATTATAACTTTTCGACTTTGTCACCTCCTAGCAGGTTCTGCTTCCCCAATTCGACCAGGCCTCTTTCGCCGACATGGCCTAATCTCATGTGCCATAATTCTGTCTTCGACATAGGTTTCATGGATGCAACATTTGTCGAACCACTTACAACCTCAGCCTCAAAGGTATACAAACCTTGTTTCTTCACGCCTCTCAAGACTTCCTTCGACCCCTTCATGACTCTTAGAATACTTTTCTCTCCTTGAAAAACGTATCCTTTTCTCTCGAGTTCACCAAGAGAAATCAAATTTCTCTTCAAGTCAGGTACGTACCTGACTTCAGTCAATAACCTTATTGACTCATCATGGAGCTTGAATCTCACAGATCCAATACCTGCAATTTTGCAAGATTTGTTGTTTCCCAACAGCACAGATCCACCATCTTGATCACATAGCTCATCGAACAATTCTCTGTTTGGAGTCATGTGCCAAGTGCAACCTGAATCCATAATCCACTCTTTTCTCGAGTCGCCACTTGAAACCACAAGAACATCAGATGAGTCGAAGTCATCTTGAACAATGGCTGCATTGCCATTACCACCATGATCTTTCAGGCGTTCAAGGTACACCTTTCTTATGTGACCCTTCTTCTTACAGTGATAACATCGAATACTAGATGTTTCACCACTATAAGACTTTTGTTGACTTTTACCTTTCTTCTTGTCGAACTTACCATCCTTTCGCAAGAATTTTCCCTTAACGGCCAAACCTTCGCCCACCGTCGAAGGTTTATACTCCTTTCATTCGTTCAAGTCCTTAGAATACAAGGCTGATTGAACTTTTTCAAAGGTCAGGGACTCCCTTCCATACAAGAGAGTTTCTTTGAAGTGAGCATGTGTTCTGGGCAAAGCACACAACAGTA